TCGCTCCGCCCCGCCCCGCCCCCGAGGCTCCTCGCCTTCCTCAAACATCCATTAGAGCCTGTTTGTTGCTCCCAGCTTCCACCCCCGCCGCCCCCTGCCGCCCCTTCCTCCGGTCAATGTTTTACCGCGGCACTTGCCCGTCAAAATGGCCGTATTCAACGGCAGCCGCAGCAGCGGGGAGCCGCCTGGTCCGCCGATGCCGGTATTCATCCCCCCTCCCCCAAATCATCCGCTTGCTGCTCGCCTGGAAAAACGAGAGTACCCCGAGGGTCGAGGGTAGGCTACCTCGAAGGTAAATTCACCGCAAGCTTTCAACAGTGAAATATTTCAACATTCAAGAATTACTATTAAATTTTTTAGAATTTCAGAGAATTTTGTTTGTTTATCGGGCAGATATTATGAGATCGATTGCACTACAGCCCGCTGCTTTTTTTAAACGCAAAAGAGTGGTCTGGAAACAGGGTCGAAAAGGCAAAAATAGCGGTGCAGCCCGGAGGGTGGCGCCACCGCTATAGGAAGGGCGGTATACAGTCGGCTCGGGTCAGGCCATCATCGAGAAAGAGCAGAAAAATGTCAAAGCGGATTTTTAAGGAGAAGGTAAACCAGTTACTCGTCGAGGCGTTGAGAGAGAGCCCCGCGGTCCGGCCGCAGGCAGGGCGGGCTCAGCCAACTTTTAATTAGGTTTCAGCAGGGCGATGTGCGCTCCCCGGCTCAGGCTCTCCCCAAGGTGGGCGAGCGCGCCAGTTTTTAAAACCGCACCGCTAATGAGACGGCGATAATGCGCTCCAGGGATCTCGGCGCGGGATCAGCATCCCTCCCGGCGGGGAAAAGAAAGACGCGGCCTCCTTCTGAATCGAACTCGCGATACTTGGGTCTGCGCCCTCGGGCGGGAAGCCGGGAAGCCCCTTCTCCTCTTTCACTTAACCACTCCCTAAATCCTCCCGGCCACCACCGTGATCGCATGCTGTCCATCCACGCTCGGCCCGGGCGGTGGAAATGTTGTGTTTAGACCCCCAACACACGGGAGGCAGAGCAAAATTCTGTAATTATTCCGCTTTTATCTCCTCTGTGAACGCATTTGTTATTTTTTTGGTTGTATCTCTGCTCGTACCTGACTTAACGATTTACCTGCCGTAGCTCCCTCCGGGCAGCGTTCTGTAATTGCTGCCCCTTCCCCCCTCTTCCTCCCCTATCATCCCCACGGATTGTATTCACCCCGCAGAAACCAGAGACCCAACGAATAAATGTTTTTCATTCAATTTCATCCGCGCGCCTGAATAATCTCGCCTCTGGTTTCCGTTTCTTTTTTATTTTGTATGTGTGCGTCTTCCCAGCCGCGTCCCCTTCCTTCACCCACTCCCCCCGGACCTGCCTGTTGTGCCTGCAGGCAGGGAGTGCGAAACACTGTAGGACGGGCGCCTCGGCAGGTGACTCAGCCCGGAGACTAGAGAGACGCGCGCACAGTGACAGAAACTCATGGGATTGGCGTCGTTTCATAAGAATTTTCGTGGCCGCTTTTCTTCTCGCGCCTCCGCCCTGGGGCTGGTAGAAGGTTGAGCCGTGCTCAACAGGCACAGGTTTCCACAAAATGACGAGAGAGAGAGAGAGAGAGAGAGAGA